AGCTGGATGTTCGTCACCGACGCCACCGCCACCGCATCAGCGTTCTTCAGGCTCAGTGGGCGGAGGCGGCCAGGCGCCCTGACCACGTCGAAAGAGTCGGTCGGCTCCGATCCCTTGGGAATGAAGGCCCTGTCCGCTTAGTTGAATCCCAGAGGAGCACCTCCACCCTCGAAGAGACGCAGCATCAGGGAGTGAAGGACGTCAGAGAGCCGGTTGTCCGCCATCCAAGCTTTGGCCATCAGGCGGTCGGGGCCAGGCGCCGAGGGCCGTGCGCGCTAAAGGGCAGCACGGAGAGCGTCAGCAGAGGGAACATGCAGGGAAGGCGCCTCATAGTGGGGGAGGTGCATGTCCAGGTAGCGGTCGACCGAGTCCATGTCTACGGGCTGGTCGGTGAAGTGGGGCTTCCAATACGAGCGCAGGGCGTCGAACGCGCGGACTGGGTCCCGCTCGATGGATGCACAATGGCCGCTGCCCTTCAGGCAGACTCCAGCAAGGACCAGACGTCGGCGAAAGGGCGCCCAGAGCATGGCCCTGCGCTGCGCGGTCCGCTGGAGCTTCAGCAGCTGCCACTTGTCAGGCCCCTCAGCACCAGGTATGAGGCGAGCTTCCTCTCGGAGCCGAGCAGCGGCAGCAACCCGCTGGCGCTCGTGCCATGCCGCGCGCAGCAGGCGACAGTCGCTCTCGAAGTCCTCAGGGGCGAGAATGGAGACCGTCTCGTCAGGACAGAGCGCCTGGTGCTTCTCGCCTAGAGCCGTCGTTTGCCTCAGACGGCGTGCGAGGAAGGCGCCTTGACGCCAAACAGCACGAGCGATGGCACGCATGGAGAGCCTCCTGCCGTCCTCCGCGTCCTCGCTGTGGTCGCCGATCGGGAGGGCCTGGATCTCATTCCTGGTCAGGCGCGCCGCCTCGGTCATGATATCCTTAACGAGGGACCACCGAGGGCAACATCCAGGGAGTCTAAGTCGGCAGCGTCCAGGAGGGTCTTCACGTGTTTCACATACCGAGGGGAACTGAAGATGTTCGGCGGGATGGACTGCTCGGTGATCCCTGAGGGCGAACGAGCCCAGATCTTCAGCTGGATGATGGCGCGGTCGCCGAGGCCCCAGTCCGCCAGCGTTGCGCCCCCCTGCCAAATCTCAAACGAGATCGCCGTGTTCAGGATAGAGTGCGACTTGAGAGAGACGATGGCGCGATCAATGAAGGAACAAGTCTGGTACTGCTCGGAGTAGTGCGCGGGCAGCTCACATGTCACCTCAGCAAGCGCTCGCTGGAAGAGCGCTCTCCAGAAACCTTGCCCCTGGTTGCCGCGGTGCCAGACGAAACGGCTGTTACCCGCCCGATGCGCACAGCGCCTTTTCCCGAGTCTGATGACGACGAGGAAGAGGAGCGGACGCCGCTGCCAACCTGAGAAGGGGACCAGGGAGCGACTGTGGCAGGGTCGGCGCTGGGAGACTTGGAGTGGGCAACGGAGGGCTTCTCCAGCGAGAGGGGCTCCAGGTCGGCAATGTTGAAGTCGCCGATGGCAACGAAGGCGCGGTGGCGTTCGTCATCTTGCGCCCAGCGGGCGCCCTCCATCCAGCTGCGCTTGATGGCGCCGAAGGAGGACTGCGGAATGTCATGATGGTGGATATTGAGGGGGCGGATGTACTCGTTGGTGTTCCCGTTAGAGATGGTGAGCTCAGCAGCGCGACTCGGCACCAGCGTCGACAGCTTGATGGCAGGGGGCAGACCCTGGTCCAGCGAGCGCAGCTCGGCCTCGGAGAACCACGGCGCCAGGAAGGCGAGGCCGCCCGTGCCAGGGTTCGCGCCCGCGGAGAAGTAGGAGCGGTAGTGGTGCGGTAGCTGGTCGATCAGGGACCTCAGCTTGATCTCAGAGCCGTGGACTTCCTGGACGACGATGAGGTTGCGGAGCTTCATCAGCTGGGCAAGGCGGGCCAGCTTGGCCTTGCGCCTGTGGGCGCGGTGGCAGAGGAGACCGTTGGCGTTCCAGGACGCAACGCAGAGCCCCCTGCTGGCGAGCGAGTCAGCGCCTCGGGCGGGGGCGAGAACCCAAGGCAGCCAGCGAGGGCTAGGAGCAAGACCAGCTGGACGTGTCCACCTCGGCGGTAGCAGCGGTGGCCTGGTTGAAGTGTTCGACGATGGTGCGGAGGTCGCGCTCGGAGATGAACTGCGCGGAGACAGGGTGCCAGTAGATCTTGGGCGACTCGTGGAAGCCCTGGGGGAAGACCTCGATGATCGGCACGGCGTTGGCGCTGATGATGCCCTTAGGCCTGATGGCGGCCTGATGGCGGCGGGGCGGCTCCAGTCCTGGGCGAGGATGTTGAGGAGGCGCTTTGTGTGCATCTCGCGACGGATCTGACGCGGGGCTTTGTCAGCGCCCACGTGCAGGGTGACGCGCCGCCCGTCTGGGGTCTCCACAGTGAAGGCGCGCCATCCCCCACCAGGAAGCCGCAAGGCACGGGCCAGAGCCATGGCGCGAGGGGCAACGGTGCCACCGTCG